AAGGTTGTATCTGTTTAAATTTTTCTAAGTCCAGGGTTTTCCAGAAACTACATAAAGCAGTTTTTTTCTCAAAAAATGTATTCATTTAATTAAAGAACAAAATAACCATATACAATAGAAAAAAAATACACAAATCAAAAATCTAAATAAAATGAAAGGTAGCAGAAGAATAAATCTTATGTGTGCCCCTTTTATCCCCAGAATATATTCAAACAAAACACAATTTACAAAATACTAAATAAAAATAAAAACATCAACTCAAACAACAATTTGTATAGCTTCACATTTTACTTTTCCATATACCTTCGAAAAACTTGCTTTTATCTGTTTCTTAAATATATACATTGAGCTAGCATTTTTAAGATCATCCTCCAGACCATTTGCACAATCCTATACTCTGGATTAAAGTACATCTTTCTCTCAAGCAAGTACGAAAATATGGCTTCACAAACATTTCCATTTAAGATAATAACTGTCTCTCTTAACAAAATTTGCCTGAATGTTGGAAGGCAATATGTTTCTGTGAGCCTTGTACATAAAGAGTAAAATATTATAATCAACCAAATCATAGAGTTTCAAAATTTTCAGTTTGCAAAATAATGTATTTGATGGATGACTGTAATCTTTTCTGCGATAATTCTTACGGCTCTTTTTTTGTAGAACAAAAATCGGATTTGTGATTGTTTTGCAAGCTTTACTCCAGACTTCAATATAGTGAATTAAATGTGCAACAATTATTGCACTATACAATACAAGTAGAGCCTTGTCATTGAATAACTCCCTGACTTTATACAGTACTCCAATAGATTATATATTTTTGTCCTTAAATAATGTATGTGAAAAGTCCTGACACATTTACTAAGTCATTCACATATGAAATAAATAAGTTAGGTCCCAGTACAGAACCTTGAGGGACTCCACATGTGATATTACCAAGTTTACATCTTACACCATTTATTTGTACAAACTGTTTCCCATCTTTCAAATAACTAAATACCCATTGTAGTGCCAACCCTCTAATACGTACCATATTTACTTATTTTTTCAAGAAGAATACTGTGATAAATTGTGTCGAATGCTTTCTTTAAATTTACATAATTACTAACACAATACTGTCTTTGATCGATAGCAGTTGTTATTTGTTCCATAAATTCCATAAGAACCATGGATGTGGAATTGTTAGCTCTAAACCCATACTGACTGCTACTTAAGATATTGTGTTTTTCAATAAATTGATCCAATCTGGTGACAAATAATTTCTCAAAAATTTTAGAAAACTGTGGTAACAATGATATTGGTCTGTAATTTTTGAACACATGTTTCTCACCATTTTTAAAAAGAGGAATTACCTTGGCTATTTTCACATTGTCAGGAAATGTACCAGTTGAAAAAGATAAATTACAGATATTCGTATGGTTCAATAACATAACTCATTATATATTTTACAAGCATCATGTCCATGTTAACCCTGTCTTTTGATCTTTTGTCAGCAAGATTTTTTACCATACTCAATATTTCTTCTTTGTCAGTTTCAACAAGAAAAATACTGTTGGTACAATCCGTAACTGTGTGACTCACAATTTTATCTACTTTTGGTATTTTTGTTGCAAGACTTGGGCCAACATTCACAAAATAAATATTAAATCCTTCCACAATTTTATTCTGGTCGTGAATTTCCTTACCATCCTTTACAAAATACTGTGGAATACCTGATTTTACAACATGATTTTTCAAAACACTATTCATTATTCACGTTTCCCTCATATTACGATTACTTTTGTCAAATAATTCACATTAATACTCCTTCTTGTGCTTTCTTATAATCCAAACCAACTTGTTGTTATATTGTAATGGTCACTTGCCATTAAATACAGCGCTAGAGCTATTTACATATATATTTTTCCTTTTCTGTAATTTTGTTTATTTTTTTTGATGACGTGTGTGCTGTGTTTTGACCATTTATTAATGTCTGTCCCTGTTGGGTATAAATGTATTTATCAAGTGTTAAAATGCATTTTATTGAAAAAGAGGAAGTGAGAAAATGGAAATAATGAATTACCTGCCTGAGGCTTTGCCCGAGAGGAGGAGATAAAAGAGCAGGAAGTGATGATCAGTGCGTACCTGAGTGAAAAAGTTTGGTGTGTGGCTGATACCCTGGAATAGCCGTGGATTATTGTTTTACGCTGGACGAGAGCGCTGAAGGATTATTATTTTTTCTTTCATCTGGGACTGCAGGGGAGGCACGCTAAAAACTATGGACATTAGAGATCTGGTGAGATAATTCAATTTAGTTTGAGGTGCGCTGACGTCTTTACTGAGGGGAGGTTTCCCTTGCTTACCCCGAGTTTGAAATTTCACGTGAGGAGGACATTTGGACTGAGACGTTTAAATATTACGTTTTGTTATGCAAAGTTATGTGATTAATATGTTGTTTTGAGAATGTAAGGGGAAATGAAGATGGTTCATTTGGGGGGGAAATTAAGAGATTGAAAGATAAAAGTTGAAAACTATCGGTTGTTGTGATTTTTTTCAGTTAATTTATTATTATTGCATTCATTTGGGCTATTTGTTGTCCTTGATCAGATGTGTGATCCGTTCTGCACTAAAGCCCATTCAACTTTAAAACATTACAGCTCCAGGAACCCACTCCTGCCCTTAATAAGCGTTATGTAATTAACTCCAAAACAGCTGGTTTTGGGCGGGTTGTTACATTTGGTGGCCAGTATGGGGGCCTGGGTTTTTCTTCTTTGGCGCTGTATTGCTATTTATGACGATCTAATTATTTTTGTTTAGTGACTCTGGTAAAGGTTTAATTATTTCAAGGTGTGACCATTAGAATTTTGTCAGCTTTAAAAGGGTTTTCAACCATAATTTTTGGCTCTTTGTTGTACATTTTATTGCTTTTTAGTGGCAATATACTGTATGTTAGTCAGTTGCTTATTTCGCTGCATATTACATTACATTTCAGCGCCCAGAGGACCCCAACCTTAGTTATGTCTGCTTCAAATAATTCAGATTCCTCATCGGAGGACACCACATCAGACTAGTGTTCAGAATCCCTCAGGGAAACGGACCAACAACAACAACTTTCTATTCATCAGGATATGGAAAACATTCACCCCCATTGTTAGAGGTTTTTATATTTTTAATTTGATGTGTTCATTTCTCATAAATGTGTCTGCTCTGTCTGCAGCCTGGCTGAGCGGGCCTCGCCCTGCCCCCCGCACTTCCTCTGGTGTCAGCTGAAACCAAATAGCATCTGCACCTTGACACATTTCTTGTGTTTCCTTTTGTCTTAGGGTGCAAAGCAACTTACTATCATGTTTTGCAAAATGTGACAGGGGATGGGCTACCACATATGGCATGAGCATTCATATTTTGATTGGTTGAAATGTTATATCCTGTATCTCTGTGTGTTTTAATAAAAAGAGTGTCAC